GCAGAAGTCAATGAAGATCATGATGGCAGGAAAATGTGACAGTCACAGAAGAGTTTATGAAATCATTTTTTAATGTGAGGGGAAGAGACCAAAGGATAAAAATCTTAGGAATAGAGATTTTCAGAGTAACACTAATACAGAAGGATCTGGTTTGCCTCTTATTTTTACAAAAGAAAAAAGAAAAAAATGGCTTCCTAAAAACAGTAAGTAAAAAAAACTAGTTACTAGCACAAAGAATCTGGAACCCAGTATGCTGACTCAAAAGTGTTTAAGAAAGGAACTGATCAAATGAAGACTGGACGGGGAAAAAAAAACAATGAAATGATGAGTCATGACTTTGGAAGAAACAGATGACCCATGGCTTTAGGAAATCTGTTTTTTGCCTGATGATAAAAGATGTAATATAAGTGCACGTAATAAACATTTAGAATTTTCCATGTACAACATGGACCTAGATTCTAGTGCCCACCCACAAAGTGTTACCAGGTGTGTAAAGCATGTGACGAACACCTGAGGAAGGTGCAGTGCTCTTATAAAGCCACAGGACTCGTTTGCTTTTGGAAGAAGCAAACCTTAAACCCCATTTTCTTTCCACAGCCACCTCCCCTTCTCCAACACAGAAACCTTACAAAAGGGGATCCAGAAGAAAAAAAATTCTAACCCCATCCTTAGAGAATTCAGATACTTTCAACAGAAAAGTCATAAGTGAATTCAGGGTGTTAATTTCATTATTTAAATAATCTGTGATCATTTAAAGACATTTCACCTGATGTCCCCTCCATTCTAAGGCACTGGCTATTAAGAGTAACATTATGCCTTTTATCCATAAGTCAACCTATTACCAATAGCTACGTGACTGAACCACGTAAATGCAAACCTTTTATTTTGCAAGATGGAAAAACTGTACTCAAGTTCTGCAAAGAATGCCATCTCTTTGACTTGAGGTTGTTTTGCAACAAAACATCCATCATAATCCGATTTTCCTATCCCATCAGAAACCGTAGGAGGCAACGTAGTCTGCCTCACCCCACTTTTTGCTTCCAAAACCTGGCTGGCAAAGCAGGGATCCATAGTCCTAATATGGACCATGGCATCGTATGCAAACAGGTGTGTGTACAGAGTCAAACGTCCAGGACTGACTGCATGAGGAAAACCACGTTCGTACCCCAGTCATTCATTCCTAAACACCCTGTCTTAGTCCATTCAGGCTTCTATAATGAAATTCCAGAGGTGATTTACAAGTAACAGAAATCTATTTCTCACAGTTCTGGAGACTGGGAAGTCCAAAATCAAGACAGATGTGGCATCTGGTGAGATCTTCCTGGTTCATAAATGACCACCTTTTACTATGTCCTCATAGGGTGAAAGGGGTGAGGGTGCTCCCTGGGGCTCTGCCCTCATGACCTAATTACCTCCCCAAGTCCCCACCTCCTAATACCAGTGCCTCTGGTAGTTAGGGTTGCAACATGTAAATTTGGAAAGAGCATAAACATTCAGTTCATCGCACCCTCTTAAAATACACCTGATATTATTAATCTCTTCATTACAAGTGCATTATAGGAACACCCTTTGGTAATGAAACTCACCTGATACTCCACTTCTTTCTGGCAGTCATTTATGTTTCTCTTTAAGCATCAGGAATACATTTTCATTCATTCTCTCTCTTCCTCTTTCTGTCTCGTCTGTCTCTCCCCTTTCCTCTTTCTCTCTGTCTCTCTGCTCTCTTAGAGGGCATCACCCAAGGCTTTAGCAAGGCAAAGATATTAAGTAAACCCATAAGAAAAAGCCCAATGGCCAAACATTCCCTGCGATACAATTGGGATATGACCCTTCCATGAAGGTTGGGGGCAGCAGGGCATTATTTGGCCGGATGAGTCTGGCAAGACTGGTGTCAGCCTCCCGAAGAATGACAGTTCTCACCTAGCTTGGCACACTGCAAGCCAACCTGACAGGAATGAGCTTCTCATTTTTTTATCCAGCCATCACAAGAGGTGCCAGGTCTACTCTGGGGACCATCTGAAATAGGTCTGAGGAAAGAGAACCATCATTCTCTGCAGAATCTTCTTTTTTGGTTATTCTGAAATACTGTAGCTTTTTGGAGCACAAATGGTAGTAGCCTAAATGATTCTTTTAAGTCAAATCATAATTTAAAAATTCAAGAAAACCATTGGCTAGAATATGTGCATGAAAAAAATCTTTATTCTTAGATGACCTATTTCTATCCGCAAAAAGATGTTTAGCCTGTTTCAAAGTTTCATGGGACAATAATTAGTAAGTTTCAAATACAGAGGGTACCTACATGAACCAGATAATTGGAAGGATAAAGCAACTTCAGATACAAAGGCAGTGTGCTTCACACAGAGATGAGAAAATAAGGCAGAGAGAAATTAGGTGGCTGCCCCAGTCTGAAGTAACTTCGAGTAAATCCTGATGCTCTGATTCTCAATCAATACTTTCTGCATCTCTCCCCTAAACCCACTAGGAAGAAAATGTACTAACTCTACCTTTTATAACAATAATTCAAAGAATGTGTATTGCCAAACAAATTCAGAAGTTTGATTCCAAATTTATAAACACCATAGCAACACACATTTTTTAAAAAATGAATTTGGAAGAAGCATTTATTGGAATGGCTTACTAAGCCTAAACAAGCATTAAATCAAGAAAATTCATCAAATGGATGATAATGCCACATTATTAAATAATATTTTATTCCTTGTCCTCAAGCCAGCCACATAATATAATGGCATACACTACAATTCTCATCTAGAGAGATCATCCAGTTTGTTTTGTTTTATTGTTACCAGATTATTTTACCCTGTCAGTCAAGTAGTATCTACAGTGACCTTTTAGGTCCCTATCCAGAGCTAAACGTAGTATAAAGGCTAAAACCACCAAGCTTTGAGCTATTCAGACTCAGCCAAGAGTGACTGCATTTAGGCTGCTCCATTTTTAACCAACCATGCTGGGCATCCGTATTGTCGCCCATATGGTACTATAATATGACATGTTCTGGCCAAGAAGGCTTTCACTGTGAACATCCCAAGAGCTAGGGATATAAACAAAAGACAGCACTGGTCAATAGGGCAAAGCTTATGTCAGCCAGTTCTTCGGTGTTTCTCTTCATAGAGAGAAATACAGAAGGCTCAGGAGAAGATACTCAAATTCACAGTTTTAGCCTCAAAAGGGCATCACAGACCCCATTCAAGGGAAATAAAGATCATGGATACTCAGGTATTTCATAGATATGGTCTCAGCTTTGAAATAAATGACAACAGAAGCATAAAAGGAACCGAATCAGGGAATTATTCCCATTACAAAAGCATTTCATTTTAAACAGGGATTCCCAATGGGCTTCTTTAAATCATGGCACACATTACAGAATACTGAAAAAGAAAAAGGTTTATGCACAGGGTAGCAGGGTGCTGAAAGTGACTTGCGCCAGTGACAACAGTATTGGCTGGATCAGTCCCGTTGATTCAGACCCTTGACAGATGCTGCAGTGAAGGCCACACGCTGGAAGCCAGAATGTGTCACTCGGTTTGAGATGAGGAGAAATGTGCAGAACTTATAACTGTGGATACAACTACGCAACTGTATTTTCAAAGAATTGAGAGTCTCAATGGTTAAAGACAGAGCTATTAGTACTATAGGAAGAAACAGACACCCTTCCAAAAGTCAGTAGCATCCTGGGGCATATGGCCATACTGGTTTATTATTCTGAACATTCATCATAAACTTTCACTTTCCATACAGGCCATTACATCACTTCCACTTGGATCAATGGCCTGAAAGAAACTGATGAACTGTCTACACAGCATTGAGGACCCTGGCTGTGACTGACGGCTGAAGGCAGCCGACCCCTCTGCGTAAACTCTAAGTCAAGTCACTGGGACTGTGCCAAAGAAGAAAAAAGAAATGTTCAGGAAGAGGAAAGATGAACTTCCAGTTTTCAACTATCATGTATCAGTTTGTAGTTTTTTTAACACAAAGTCTAAGAACAAAGCTATCTCCATTCGCCAATAATTTTATTTTTTTTCCCAATCTCATGCACAGCCTGGAATCAGCTTTCTGCCTAAGGTCATTAGCTGACACATGCTTTTGTTATCCCAAACATGACTGCACAGCTCTCAAACCTGTTAGCTAGCCAGAAAAGGGAGTCCAGCCAGAACTGGTCAGCTATCATTCAGCAACTATGTGCCACTACAGAGCAACCTGCATTCCTGAAAGACTTGTTGTTAGAGAGACTGCAAAGTTAGAAATGAGTTCCCATTTTCCATAAGTAAACATTTGCTCTAGAAGCAACTGTCAACCTGCAAACACACCCACTTTTTCACACAAAGTTCGTACTGGATAAGATCAATGATGCAGGTATCTGTGCTGGATTCCAATCACTTTAAAATAGGTCTTTAAATCCGTTCCTTTGTGCAGGTCAATCTCTGCATGTGAACGCTTACTTAAAGAGCATCAAACTGCCTTTTGAAAAATACACCTTCCTTGAACCAAAGATACTTTTTGTTCCCAAGAAGCTGTTGCCATTTCCAGCAACAAATGACGCAAAAGACAAATTCTGCCATCCTCAAGAGTGGTATCAGACAAACAGAAACGGCAAACAAAAGAACGGCAAAAGCCTATGAAAAACCAAGGTGAATTGGGCACAGGAGAAGAGAGAAATGCATTCTGAATTTTCATCTATGATCTAAGAAATTCAGCCTTTACTGATGAAAGGGGGTCTGGGAGGGGGAGGAATGAGAGGTGAGATTTTTAGTTGAAAAAAAAAAGAAGTGTGTTCTGTCCGGGTTGGTTTTCAACAGCACTTTGCGAGTGCGCGGCAGGCAAAATCTAGTTTAGTGACTAAGACCGATTCAATGAAAGGAAAACAAGTTTATTCAAGACACAATGGAGCCACCCACTAAATCCGACAATTCTTTAAGAATTTTTAAGTGCGTTGTGGTATCAAAATAAAAGTTTATGGTTATTCACAAGAAAAATCTATCAATTCAACAGCATCATCTCGAAGGCTGTGCACCCGTCCTGTCATATCCTGTTTTAAGGAAAGTGCTAATGGCTGGAAACTAACTATTGTCAGCTATCTCCCAGGGCTGTGGCCCTGACATTCAGTGTCACTGGTGGAAATCCAGCCGCGGCACAAGCCCCGGGGTCCCTGGCGCAGCCGTCTGAACCACAGCGCCAACGATCCGTGCGCCGGGGTGGAAGGACTCGGGGGGTGCGCGCTTCCTCCGCCCTCGGGCCGCGCGTCCGGAACGGCCCTGGCTGTCAGGTGGGTGGCGGGGCGCTCCGGCCGGGAAGCGCTGAGGGCGGCGCGGGGCGTCCGCGGGCCGGAGAGGGGCGAGCGGGGGGAGTGCGCCGCGGCCCTGGGCCGGCCGGCGCTCACCTTTGTTCGCCTGCCTGGAGGCGAGGGGACGGGGGGTGGGGGGGCCCAGGAGCCCCGGGGGACATCCGTAGGCAGCCGGACCCTCTCCGGCTCGCAGAGCGGCGGCCGCGCTGCGGGGTCGGCGGCCCCTCGGCGAGCAGCAGGGCTGGGAGGCGGGAGCGCGGGGGGCGCGGCCGCGTGCGCCTCGGGGCCCGCGAGTGTGCGTGTGCGCGCGTGTGCGCGGGGGCGGGGGGGCGCGCGCCGGCCCTCTTACCTCTCGAAGACGAGCCGCACCATCAGGACGCAGAAGGCCAGGGGGAGGGCGAGGTAGAGGTCCTCCGCCTGCGGGAAGGTGGCCTCCTCCGTGTTCTTCAGGTCCGCCCAGGTGACATTGTGCGGGAGCCAGAACCGCTCGTTCCAGAACCAGGCGAGGATCCCTGCCATCTTGCCGTGCGCTCCGGTCCCTGCCCCCGCGGCCCGCCGAGCTCTGCGCCGCGCAGAGCGCCCGGGATGCGCGCGGCCGCCCGAGCCTGTGCCTCCGCGGCCGCCCGAGCGCAGGCTGGCGGCGAGCCGCGCTCCTCCCGCCTCCGCCCGCGCCGGGCCCGCCTGATTGGCTCGGCCCCGCGGCGGCCGCCGGCACACGCGGCCGCTCGTCCACGCCCGGAGGGCAGCCCCGGGGCGCCGGGCACGGGGCCCGCACCCGCGAGCGCCACCTGGACCCGCGCCCGCCGCGCGCTCGCCCCGCGCCCCAATTCCGCCCCAGCCCCCTTCCTGCTCGCACATGCTCAGAACGCCGGCCCCTGCCCCCCGGAGTGTCGGGGGGTCGCAGCCCGCTTCCCGAGTGCCCGCAGGCGGTGGGGAGGCAGGCAGCGGCCGGGCCGGTCTTCAGAGCCACCCCCGCCCTGAGAGACCACAGCAAAAGGAGAAGTAGGGGCACAAAGCGCAAAGGAGGAAGAGGTGTTAGGGAAGGAGTCATCCGCCCCGGCCCCTCGCCAGGCGGGGTGAAGAGCGGGAACCGGGGCAGGGTGGCCCGGCGACAGCCGCCTGCCTCCACCCCACGCCCCTCTCTCCCCCCTCTCTGGCCTTCCTGCCCCGTTATTCTACCGCGGGTCACCACCACCCCCTCACCCAGGGAACAAGGCCCTCTATTTAAACTGAGGCACTTAATTGCTATTTGATAATGACAGTAATGTTGACGATCACGACGACAGCATTCCGTAAGACTGCCCTCTAAACGAACCTCTCAGAAAATGTTACCAGACCACATTTTGGTTTCTGAGATCGGAAGAGAACCTCCACTCTGATATTTGACAGATTCATTACTTCTGTCTTTTGCATCTGAAGCCTTTGAGGCATTGGGCCCTGAGACCATGCAGCCAGCTGCTCGGTGGCAGCGATGGCCTTCCAGCCAGATGCCTTGGCATCACTTGCGTTCTTGGAGACCGCAGACGGGAGGTTTATCTCTTGCCGCCTTCATGGCAGATGGTCATGTTCGTTATGGAGTCTACCTTCCACGCCAGTCAGACTCCCTGCATGGCTGCCCCTGATCACTCATGTCACTCCCATGCGTGACTGGTATTATTTTGCCTTCTATTCCAGGACTTCTCTGCTGTCCAGCAGGTCCTGCTGTGTCCCCAAGCATGTGCAACAAGAAGTATTGGTGAGTTAATGCCCTGGGGCCTGAAGTTTGATCAAGGGCAGTGGAAGGCAGTAGATAAATGTTAAATCCTTTCCCTCCCCTTCCCCTGGGACAAACGCAGTAGCTTCAAACAACCTCTCTGGAAATATCCTGTGATACAAAGCAATCAGGTTATTTCAAAGTTGCAGCCAGCCCAGTAACTTACTCCCGTATATTTTTTCCTCTCTCTCTCCTTTTCACTTATTCCTGCTTCTTTGAAAATATACTGACCTCATTTTCCAGAGAAGACAAATTAAAATATTATTTCTCTCCTATTCATCAACTTTGAGAAGGTGGCAGAATTTCAAGAACATTTTGAAAGATAGGTTTTGTTGGACAGTGGAAGGAGAATTTACTACTTACCTGTGCATCTTGCACAAGTCACTTAGTCTCGAAGAGCATGTTAATGCCCTCCTGTGTAAGTTTTCTTGCCTATGTTACTCAACTGTCATGGAGCTCACATGAGATAACATGGGAAGGGGACTGGCAAATTCTTCACCTTTGTACACACGCACAGTTTAACAAACCTCTACTCTTTTGGGGGGGCCAGCATGTCTCCTCCAAGCTACAGACCCCTTCCTACCACTCTCCATCCAAATGATTACCCCAGAAATACAATGGAGTAAAATATTATTGCATGTCTGACTACATTTTTTTGGTTCATGGGTGGATGCTTGGGCCAAGATAGCAATTAAAGTCCTTGCTCAGTATTGGGGCAGGGATCAAGTCAGTCTTTCTTTGTTTGCTTGGACCCTAGGATTTCAGACTCAGAAGCTATTAGTCCCATGCTTCATACGGTCTGCAGCAGGAGAAAAGAATGAGGCAGACCTGTAGAATTAAGTAAAGGTAAGAGACATCTGTCCACATGGTATGGAGGGACTAACTTTCCCTTTTTTCCACACAGCTGGGAAATATCAATAAAGTTAAGCATTACTGTAATCTTTCTTAGACATACACCTAATCCTACATGCAGTTGAGTCCACTTCTTAGATGCAGGAGAACAACCAGAAATGTAGTTGAATTTCCACCATAAGTGGCATAGAGCAAAACTATACTTCTTGTTCTACAAAAAGAACACAAAATCTCTTTGGGGAGCAGGATGTGTTCACATGAAAAGCCAGATAGCAGTGCACCCCAGCCCCACTCATGATGGCACTGGTCAATAGATGATAAGCACCCCAGTATTGCAGATAACAAAGGGTTTTCTGCTCAAAGGAGGGAGACATTCTGTGTTGAAGAGACCAAGGAAAGCTTCAAGGAAGAGGCAGAAATGGCCTCAGACTTTGAGGAATGAGTAGACCCAAACATGCCTGAGCGAAGGGGAAAAGGAAGATTTGCTGAAGGACGATAAACAAAAAGTAGCTAAGAAGCCAGATTGCAAATGGCCTTCAGTGTGATGCAAAGGAATGTTCCACTTATTTTAGTGAGAATAGTATTTCATCTATAATAGTAATTCTATATTATGAAGCCTGGTATACAATACATTTCAGTTACTGTAGGTTCTTAATAATACACCAGTACATTTATTTATTGCTTAAAAGGCAGGACAGTGCTAAAAGTAAGCATTCAGTTCAAACACTCAACTCACTGATTTTAAAGAAATCTGGTTTTCGCTGGGAATAATATGGAAATATTGCCAAATTTTATTTCTACAATCATTTCTCGTGAATATATAACCTTCTTGCCGTGGTTGGCAAAACTACCTTACATATACACCTGTTTTTCACTCTCCAGGTAACAGTCTCTTGGGTTTTCTTTTATACACCATTTGAGGAGAGAATTGGATAAGAAGTAGGCAGGGTTCATCCCCATAGTGTGCAAATAATCTTAGCTGTGAAGAAAACTCAGCATCTCCTGCTATCTTAAGGAAATGATAAGAGTGTATAACTCACTGCCTTGGAGTTAGGTTAAGATGTGTAACCCGGACATGTATTGAATATACATTAGTTGTTAGCAGTTCTCTAGCAGGACTGCTCCCTCCCGTGTTCAGTCTTTCTTACCACCATGTTACGGATTGGAGGTCTGACTGTCTTTCTCCTGCCTTTTACCTTGACAGTTCCTATCTCTAGAAAAGCTTTTCTGACTCCGACAACCATCAATTACACTTGTATTCCTAGCTAAACTAAGTCACTGGCTGGATTTCCTGTCTTCTGTCTAATAATCAAAATCTATTCAAATGTTAATGTCCCCCCCTGCAAATTTCTTTAACTTACTAAGGGCATGTCAGCATCCCACTAAAATTTTAAGCATGACAAACGTGCTATGAAACCAACAAGAGAGAGAAACAACCAGGTTATCTGACTGGGCTGTCCAGCTAGGGATCACATTCACCTCAGTTAGGCGTCTGTAACTTCGTGAGATGTTCCACCGAGTACAGCAGCCATGATGGTGTTTTCTGTGTGTACATATGGATGAATAAAATTTGGGGTCAGTGCATCTGATTTATTAGCTGGGAAGCCTGAGTTCTACTACCCACTATGCAAAGGTTTTTATAACCAAAGAGAAACAGAGAATTTGAGAAATTGTGGAGATGGGTTTTAAATCTCAGGAGGTTAAGAAACCAGAATTTGAGTCAAGTGTAGTCCATAAGGACGGCTGTATTCCAGTCACGCTGGGAACCACGCAGACAGTAGGGTAGAAAAGATCGTTGGGAGGCCTGATATGCTTGCCCCAATATTGGAGGGGGTACCAGGTGGGAGCATTCTAACTTGATCTTTGTGGTCCAGAGGGGCAGCCCTTGGGACAACTGGCTGAAAAACTTGTAAGGCTAATTTTATCTACATAGAAGAACTATGCAAAGCTGGCTCAAAAAGAATGAGCAGCCTCATCACGCAGTGAACCTACTGTCATGGGAAGTGTTCAGGCAGAAGCCTACCTGTTAGAAATATTGGAAAGAATATTCCTATCTGAAGCTGATGGAAATTCACGTCCTTAAGTTTGTGTTAATATCTTGGGGTTAACATAAAGCACTATGGAGCGAGGAACAGAATCGGCCTCACCCTGAGAAGCTTCTCCAAGTGCAAAAGACTCTAGGCAATGTGCTAACAGGTTAGGACCTGTTCAGTCCTAAACGTCTACTCTCTTAGAGGCTAGTGGGCAGAATGAATAAGAGAAGAAATGGAGAAGGAAAGGAAAACGTGAGAGGTAACCACTGTCAGACAGAAGCACATTAGAAAGGTAGAAAGGGAAATTCAAAAGTCCGAAGAAATAAGTCCCTTCTTGCTTCACCTGTAACAAATCCTGAAATGTTCAAAGGGCCACATTGGAATATGTTGCTAGCCGTCTGCAGGATCCCATTAGAAAACAAAATCAAAGGAGTTAGGCCACATGGTTATGCGGACAGGGTCTGTTTCCAGCTTTTCTCCCGAGCACTTTGAACATTTTTCTGTGCTGTTTTTAATAATGGGAAATTATACATCAGAAGTCACTGTTTACATAGTATTTGAGTACCAATACTGCCTCAAATGATTGTGTTCTTCCTTTCCTTCATTTAGTTGTTAGAGTTTAAATTCATTCTCCTGTGTGGATAGAAGAAGGAGGGTAGAATTTCAAAGGTAATCTTCCCTTGCAATAATTGTTCACCATTAACTTTTGCCTTCAGAAGTGCATCTAAGGCAAATGTTTACGTCCAGGTCTAAAATAATCATTATCTGGCAATCATTAGCTTATATTAAATTAAACTACATGCTCATATTTGGAAAGTACACATAGTTTTAAAAGCCTTTCCCCTAAAATTAAAAATATATGTAAATAATCAAGCAGATCAGCCCTTTCATTGTCAAATTAAATTCAGGCACAACATGTGCCTAGATAGGAGAAACATTTAGTAAATATCCCCAAGAATTAATTAATCTCATTTAATTGAATTTGAGACCAACGGACTGTAATACCTTCTGCTGCCATAAATGCATGTGATGTTGTAATTGTAAGCAATCAACTCCCCATGATGGATGTGTGTGGGCTGAGGTGTTTCTGTTTGTCCTGCACTTTATGATCTTTGAATTCACTTAAACTTTAAAATGCAATCAAAATACAGCATAGTCAAGATTTAGAAAAAAACAAGCTTTCACAAATCTGCACAGACATAGGTTATTAGAAGATTTAGGGGCTCTGAATTTACCAGCTATGGGTCTTTCACAAGTCTTACCCTGTGATTGCCACAGAATTATTAACAAAATCCTAAGGCGCTGGGTCCTTTATGCTTATATATTATTTGGCTCAAAGATTCTTCCAGTCCTCATTTAAACTGTAAAACAGACTTCAGCTCTAAGTTTAGAGAGAAGTCTTAGAAGCTCTGACATGGCAAGTTGCCAGGAGAATATTTTCCCTGAGGAGAAACGAGACTCAAATGTGCTAATTAAGGGAGCTTAATATCCCTCAAAATTAATTCTTTGTTACCTGCAGTGGTTTAATTATTTCCTTCTGGAATGCTCAGAATTGCCCTGCATCTTTAAAATAGCAGTGGGCCACTCATTGTACTGAGTCAACATCCATTCTGAAGATATTTCTACTTGTAGGCTACAGCAGTGGGCAAAAAGAGGAAGATTTTAGATGTCACAATAAAACAGGAAGACATATTTTCACAGGTGGTTTGTGAAATAAATTTCATTGATGTCATCATCCCTCACATAAAAAAGAATGTTCCAGAAAAAAAATTATTATAGCAATAAAGAGGAAGGGAGGGAATGGGTTATAATTAACACCAGGTAATTATAACTAAGCTCAGACCACCAGGAGCAGTCAGCCAACTCTGACGCATTCCCCCATTAGCAGCCTGCGCTTTCCAGAAAGTAAAAGTCAGATGTTCTCAGAGAACATTGATTGAACTGAGAGATAACTAATGATAAACAAGACTCTTTATCTTAGGCAATAGACTTGAATGTTATCCAGGTAACTACTGTTTTCTTGGAATTCTTCTTGAATCAGGTAGGTCCTTGTAAATATGGACATAATACAAAGCTCTAAATGTAGGTAGAAGGTACATATGTTGAGCTCAAATATCACCTCCTTTGGAGCCAACTCTGACCATATAACCATGCAGTACAAAGTTGCTGCCCTAGCACTCTATCACACCCCACTCCCTGCCCGAATTTTATTGTCTTCACATCATGCAGCAGAGCCCTCTGAAATGCTGTGGTTTACTCATCCACTAGTTTGTTATGGTCTTTCCTCCGTAAGCATGTGGGCTCCAGGAGAGGAGGGCCCTGGCCATCTCAGTGACTCTTCTACCCCATGTCTTGAGCGGCACTTGGCACATGAGGCCTGTTAAGTAAATCATTGTTGAAGGAATGGTGTGCAGATCTTTTTTTTTTTAATGTCAGACTTCTCTTTAACAATAAAATAAAAAGATTTATTCTGGTGCCTGAGCTAGGAAGGGGGCTGGATATCCTGTGTAGGCAACCTGAGATCCATGTATTCAATCAGGATAATTGCACATGGACCCACAGTCACCTGCTCATGCAAAGCTTCTTACTGAAGCTGTCTTCTTGGGCGACTTTGAGTAAAACCTCAGTTCTGAGTAAAACCTCAGAACTGAGACAAAACTCAGTTCAAGATGAGCCCTTGACAGGACTTGAAGGGCTACTCATTCTCCTGCCTAGAATGTTCTCAGATCAGCCTTCATCTGCGCTGTCTCTATTACCTAGTTTCTCATTTGGGTAGATGTAACCCATGTTCCCAGACCAACCCTTAAATACTTTGGGAACAAGAAAATGCTACAGGTGCTTCAGGGAAGATGGGCAGCTCAGTGCTGACAACAGGACCTAAAATAGGCAGGGTGAGTCCTAATACATAACTCCTGTTATCATGTGCCAGTCTGCCAAGCCCTGCAGGTGTTTTCGTGTATG